AGCTTTCCTGCAGATAATCCCAATAATGAAAACTTACACAGGAAATAGACATTCCTTTATTAAAAGGCTGGGAAAGATAGGCAGTGCTATCTCAGAGCTCAAAATCAATGTGTTCCTTGTTCATGGGGACTTCCAATCTATGGAAGGTCTACAGCTCATTCTGCAAATGTTTGAATTTGCCTTCCAAAATCCACTGAATCATAGAGTCTGGATCATAACCGCTCAGTGGGACTTCACAACGGCATTTTCTTGGCGTAAATTTGCATTGCAAAGTTTCAATGGCACATTATTCTTTTCACTCCATACAAACACTGTGCCAAGATTTCAGGAGTTTCTTGAGAGCATAAATCCTTTCATTCATTCCTTTCCTTTTATCTATGAATTCTGGTATTCTGTATTTCTCTGTTCATTCCCCCAGCATGATCTGCATCTAGGAAAAGGAAAGAACTGCACTGGGAAGGAGGAACTAAGGAGACTCCCCAGCACTGTTTTTGAAATGGAAATGTCTGGAGAGAGCTACAATATCTACAATGGGATTTATTCTGTGGCACATGCATTGCATTCTCGGCATTCAGCAAGAGTAAAACCAGTATCTTTGAGGAATCAAGGCAGGCACAATTCTTGGAAAGTTGAGCCATGGCAGGTAGGAGTTCTCTTAACCAGATGTATCAGGTGAAGGTGAAAACAGCAATCAGGAGGTTACAAGCAAGAGAAGCTGCTTGATAAGTCAGTTACTCTCAGGTTCAGCCCAAAGAACTCCAAGAGACAATGCACATACAGTTCTTTTGTGTTTATTAGCTTCAACCTCAAGACAGAAATCTCACCAGACTGAACCCAGGTTCCCAAGCCAGCCAGCTACAATACCATGAATTCCTTAGGGAGGTGCCAGCCTCATCATCTTGAACTTCCCACGCTCCTGCTGGGGGCTAAGAACATGCTTATCTCCCTGAGCCTGGCCTTCATAAGTCCATTCCATCACAGTTACTCAAAGCTGCCATGTGAACTCTCACTTATGAATTAAGCAGAAAGATATAAGGAAAAGACAAGGAAAAATATAGAGCCGAACGGTATAAAGGCCCTGAATTTTCTGCTCCAAATGAGATATCAGCTCTTGCATTTAAGGGTTCATCCTAATGTTATCAAGATTTAGACCAAGTCAGTCCAATTTCTGAAAAAGAGGTTCCCTTTCTCAATACCTATAATTTACTGCTGAGCCCTGGTGTGACATCTGACAAGTGCTAGAAACAAGGGCATGCCACAGTGCCCCTAAAGCATTGATGTGTTGAATGACAAGTCAAAGAAAATCCTTGGGAAGGGGCAAGGGGTCAAATAAAATTTATATCATGAGATCTTCCTTGAATGACCAGCTTGCATCATATCTCAAGAAGCAAATGGCACCACCATTTGTGTGTTGTCAATTTTCCATCCTTGTGATTCCTTGCAAATACCTATCTTAGCAACCTGTAAAATATATAGCAATTTCACACACACATAAACACAAACAATATCTGTAGCTAAGTAATGGGTGTTCGAAGAAAGACTGTAGAAAATTACGCCCTTTAAGACAAATTATTTACTCACCCTGGAGCAAATTGCTGTAACCCAGTCTGTTCTGTTTCAAGCCCTTCCCAAAGACCCAGCTTTGATTTCCCATTCCAGAGCTGTGATGTGAGTAGTCAGTAGAGAACCTCTTGGTCATCCAGAGGACAAATTAGTGATATGGAGGAAAGCTGATGATAATTTTCCAAACAATATTTTTGGAATGAACCCTAGATTGCTGATGTTTTCCCCTTAAAAGAAAGAAAAGGCATTTGTATTGTGAGGAAGGAAGGGCAATATAGCATTGGAAGCTTTCTAGTCATGCACTTGATGGTCAAGTGCTCCTATCTTGTCACAATTCACTTCTTCTCCTCCAACATTGCCTTGGACCCAATCCATATTCTGAGAATTGGGGCAGGAGAAGCAAAATAGCTTCTACCTATTTTCATGTTGTCATCATTCTTACACCAACACCTGCCTTACTGTAATTTTTACTGCTCTCATGACGACAGTCATCTCTGAGGTATCAGCTAAAATCTAATTTTTTCCCTCCCTCCAATGCAGCTTCACTACTTTCTCAGACATGTGTGTTTTAACAATACTGTGGGAGATGAAATCTTTTTTGATGAGAAGGGGGACTTTGACCCCGGATATGACCTCTTCAACCTGGTCACGTTCCACAATCAATCCTTTCAGAGAGTCCTGATTGGGAAGATGGATTCCAAAGCTTCCAATGGGAAAAAGTTCAAAATTAAAGATAGCACCATTGTGTGGAACCACAAGTTTCAGGATGTATGTGCTCAGGGAGTGTGTTATTTAAGCAAAGTGATATTTTTGTCTGTGTGCTTGATAATCTACAGGTTAAATTTGTTTCTTAAGAATTGGCTGCCCTTGAGGAGTATCCAGATGCTTCATCTGGTGCAGAATGCAGCAGCACAGGCAGTTGTGTGTGGTCCTATAAAAGCACATATTACACTTCTGCTGCCAATTTGCTTCCAAGTCCAATTCAAGGTGCTGGTTTTGGCCTTTACAGTAATTCATCGCATGTGGCCGGGTTATCTGAGGGACTGCCTCTCCCCGATTATACCAGCCCATCCCATTAGATCGGGCATGGATGGTGTGCTATGGGTTCCGTCTGCCAGGGACTTGAATTTGGTGGGTCCCAGGAGGTGGGCCTTCTCTGCCATGGCTCCCTCCTTCTGGAACATTCTCCCCCCTGAAGTGAGGCTCGCTCCTTCCCTGCTATTGTATAGGAAGTCCCTCAAGACCTGGCTATGTCATCAGGCCTGGAAGTCTTTGGGAACCAGAGATATTATTAGATGGCTCCACTGTGACTGACATTCTTGCTCTCTCTGTAGGGTTTGTATATTTTAATAATTTTGATAATATATTTATTTTAAGAAGTACTTTTTATCTTTTATAATGATTGTTTTTTATCTATTTGTTGTTTTATCTCATTGTTGTATGCCACCCAGAGTTACTTTGTGTAAGATAGCAGGCTATAAAAATATGATAAATCAATCAATAAATCCCGAACATAGCACTTTTGCTCGATATCTGAGTTTCCCCTCTCAGAAATGTTGCAACGGCTGATTCTGATTAACCTAGAAGATACATTTTTTGTAGTGACCGTTTTTTTCCAGATATCTGAAATGATTTCATTTAAATCTTTTTGTTGGCCAAAGCTGCTTAATTTTCTTTCTGTTATGCTTAATGTAGGACAGATTCAAAGCAATAACATTTTAAAAATGGAGAAATCTTAACTGTAAATAACTTTTGCATAATTACAAATTATGAGCTAAGTATGAGCACCTTTTTCTATTTTTCTACAATTGAGTTACAACCCATGGAGGAGCAAAATATTATTATTAATAATAATAATAATAATAATAATAATAATAATAAAAATGTGGAATGAGGAAAACATTATGAAGAGTTTCCACTGACTATTTCCTCAGAGTTTTCTTTCTTTCTAAATCATGCAGCATTTTCAAGAAATATACTTTTATTTTATTGCTTTTAATGCAGAGCATATTTTCCTTTGAGAATATTTCAAAAAGAAATGGATCCAAAATTGTATGGATAGGAAATCATACAAAAGAAGTTAAAAGAAAAATATAGCTCCCAGTGAGAAGAATTGTCCTTTTGAGACACTTGGTGTAAATCAAAAGTATAAGCAGGATTTTTTAATAAAATTCCAGAATTATGATAGACCAACCACATCCCAAGATTCTGTGGGAACAAATTATGGAATAATCGGAGTGTTCTACCCTAAGAACTATTCAGAATTTGAAACCATCCCCTGCTTCTTTATTTCTCCACCTAGGGAACAAGGTGGAAACTGAGATTGCTTCTCAAGTTCTCCACAAGGAAGGCATATTTGGTGTGCAGGTTTTTAAAGAAATAATTCTGTTGATCCATTTATATATAGAGTGAATGACTGGTTCCAACTGTCAACAACTACCATCAAATCAAATCTTTATTACAGTCAGGGATCAGGATAAGGGGGGTAGGGTACAGCCAATTTAAAACGCATAGAAAATACATCAGAAAAATAATAATAATTAAAAAGCTAAGAGATATAAAATAGAAAGCATATATCTAAAAGGAATCTAAAAGAAAAAAATTATGAAAAGTAGAAGATATAAAAATGTATCTATTAAAATAGAAAGTATACAACCGTCAACATCTATAAGCATGGTGCTTTCCATCCACTTCAGTGGCACAATGTCAAAAAGTAAACCTGGGAAATTTGAAAGTATCAGTTAGCACATTTTGAGCTCAAAAGTCTTTGCACACTTTAAGAATGTAGTAAGTTCCTGTCTCTTCCACTTCCATGGCAAATAAGGGGGAGCATTTCCATAGGCTGCATGAATCCTGACCCTAACCCTTCCTTATGGTTATTTTTAGGTACGTCCCTGGGCCAGATGTGTTGAAGGCTGCCACCATGGGTACAGCAAAGCTGTTCAGGAGGGGAAACCAGCTTGTTGCTACAATTGCACTAAATGTCCTAAAGGAATGATCTCAGTCCAGATTGGCAAGTAGAAGAAATTAAAATTTAGAATCAACATAAAAATTGGAATACTAGAATGGAGAATTCCACATTTT